ACCTATAGTTGATTCCTGAATATCTTCATAAACCAAACAGTAAACGAATTTCATGAAACGAACTCGGACAGAATCGTGAACAAAGCGTAATTTTCCGTCGCTCAATAAATGCACACTTACGTAAATCTCAACTAAGTGAATTTTAATTTATACATTCTTACACAAATGACCGAAGTCAAAGGAAGTCCTATTTTGTTACGCAAAATCGAAATACACTCAGTATCCACGACCCACACCTATTAGGTGAGGACTGATAATCCTACCTGACTACGCAGACTTCGGTAGATAGAGTGGAGTTTGAAACCGTGACCCACTGATTTAAAGTGGAATGCCTAGACCAATGAGCTACAGCTCCACTGGAGGCGGTCAAGTAAAATCGGCTACACGTCCATTGATACAAATACTGAGTTAAAAGAAGCAACTAAAAGGGAAATTTCGATTTCCTTTTAACAATCACAACTTTTCACGATAGTCACTGACTTAAGTAACAATGAAACTATATGAGCAAGTAAGTATAGGAACGAAAAATGAGGATGATGGAAAGGTGTTACAAATTGATGTTGAAATATATATACACTGTTAAAACTACTGTGAAAATACGTGTTTTCATACTAAGACATTGTTTCAATAAGACAATTGACAAGTATAGGATTAATATAAAATTTGAACATGATGGCAGAATAAAACTCACTACAGTAATTGTTTGTGTGTCAATAAAACTGTTTTTACTATATTATGCATACAAGAAAGCAACTATAAGGGAAGTCTAAGAGCTTGAAAAGATGAATAAACAAAAATAACTTACAACTTTGTGTGTCATCAGATTTTTTACTTCCTCCTCTGGAATTTGTCGGAATTTCCTCTCGAGGGGTAACCGAGTGCATGTACCTTTTGTGAATGATGAAACATAGCTGTCATTAGACGAACATATGTGAAACGAACGTATAGATGTTCCATTGACTATGGATGCAGAAAACCTCAGTGGAAGGTTTGATTTCTAGCTTCTGGTACACTCAGTAGTTCCGACCATCCCGTTTTTATAAATTGATATGTTGATAAAGATTCATTTTCATGAAACATTCCATTCAAAGCTGAATTGTTTGACATGTTCAGTGAGGAAAGCAAATAGGCTTGTGACAGCCAGACAATGTTCCCTAATGTAAGAAGACACAACAAACTAATCCTCATATATTGTAAAACAAAGAGGTATAACTTTCAAGTAACATGAAACATAAATGAAACATCATTTATGTAGATGTCAGCTTGTTGTGAGCGTAAAAACTCTGCTGTTTTCCAAATACAGTAGAGTATTGATGCATATTTTTGCACATATGTCTTTTTAGCTTTAGCCTAATGCAGCTAAGTAGAGAAGCGTGGTCCCTCATCAGAAAATTTCGCATTCATCGTTAACACCGACACAGGATCAGCCATTGCTACATTACAGCCCAAAGAGCTTTTCTGCCTCTCTCCCCACACCTTCAAGACCCGAGAACTAGTCATCAAATCTCCAGAAACTCGAAGGGTGAATTTAGTGGACTCAATATATTGACTGAACGAGGCTATATAAACGACCCCATAAGCATATCCTACAAACGGTGGGCACTTCCATGGTCCGAAATAACAGATGCTTCTTTAGCCAAGCGCCGTGGCTACTCTGAAGGTGAGTAAGATATTAAAAACTCAGTATTTTGTTTGAAGCGTGACTTAAGGAGACGAATGGTGCTGTTCCGTGAACTCAGACTGTTATCAAGAGCTGCAGAGCTGGAATAAGTCAAAGATGACGTAGAATTATTGAAAAGGAGACGTCAAAGAAGATTAAGAGTTAAGGATTTGGAAGGTCTACAGTGATCTAAGCGACTTGCATATTAACAAAGTAGTGAAGGCTGTTGAAGCTACACGGCTGCATGTACTGTGGAGGCCTGTTCTTTCTCAAAGCACCCGAAGAATAAGTTTTATTGTGTGACCGCAGACCCTAAGAGACTTCTGCTCTAGGCCGGTGTGTTAGTTTCGAATCCGATGCGTCACGGGATAGAGAAGTGTCCTAATTTTTGGGCTGATCTTTATTTCCATCGCTTCTTATTGTAAAGGCTGCATAAGTGCCGCACTACCTGTGACCCAAGGGAAGCACCTTAATGCTGCCACACTCTCGTCCAGCCAGCCAGCAGCACGACTTCACCCTTGGACCATCATAACAATAGCGTAGTAATTCACACTGATGGTACTGCTTTTTCTCTTATCACTATCCAACAGTAACATAAGAGTAAAACTTGTACACTGTGGTAGACTGTAATCCCATTTTTATTGATTTATTAGATTTATCACACAGCGTAACAGTATTGTTTACTAGTTTACGTTTCGGACATAATTTATCGTCCACAGTCATATCAAGATATCCTTTATATAGACCTAGTTTTCTCGTCCCTTTGTGACATGGGTAGTAATATTTTTCATATATCCGGAACAGGTGCTGAGTCATTCCTGTTGCATGTGTTAGGTGTTGATTTGATAAACAAAGATTCACTTATCAATCTCTCCCACCCACTGCACCCTGTTGTGTTAGTTTTAAGGATTTTCATCCTGTCCCATCTGATTGTGTGGTTATGTATAATCGCATGCATAGCTATGGCTGAGCTTTTTCCTAAATTCGTTACTTAATAGGATCTACTAATTTTGACCTAGCTAGGTTTTTGTGTTCGGATATCCTAATTGATCCAGGTCGACTACTTTGACCCACGTACTTCGCCTCGCAATCGTTGCAAGGGATTTGGTGAACTAAGTTATTCTTCTAACCTACAAAGCTTATTTCGAAGTGAGTTTGTCGTTTAAATGCTACTCCGATCCCAGCCTTATTGAGAATTCTGCGTACTGTTTCTGAGGTCCCTTCTGTGTATGGTAATATTGTAGAGGTTTTGAATTCTCTCTTCACAGTATTGCCACTGCTGTTATTAACGTTAGGAAGGAGAGATTGATAAGTGAATCTTTGTTTATCAAATCAACACCTACACATGCAACAGGAATGACTCAGCACCTGTTCCGGATATATGAAAAATATTACTACCCATGTCACAAAGGGACGAGAAAACTAGGTCTATATAAAGGATATCTTGATATGACTGTGGACGATAAATTATGTCCGAAACGTAAACTAGTAAACAATACTGTTACGCTGTGTGATAAATCTAATAAATCAATAAAATGGGATCACTATCCAACAGACCCTTCAGTTTTTGGTAGGTCATCGAGGGAACAAGTTTTCCACCAGCATAAGTCGTTGATCATTGTGATATTTAAGCTCGTTCAGGTAGCAGCCATCAGTTGGAAATTTCGCACTCAGACATCATTGGATCCCTTTTCACTTGTCGTAGGTTTGGCGCCCAGGTGGTATTATCAGAATCTCTGCAAGTGGGTTGCGACTCGCAAATGCTTGCGGAGTTAAATTTTATTTCCTTAGTTTCAGTAATCGAATTCAGCGAGTATAGGAGCAATAGGGTAAACTAAGTAATAAATTATTTCTAAAGAGGCTGACAAGTCATTTAGAAACTTCTAATCAGTGAGCCAACAAATTACTGGTAGGAATTAAGATAATCTGTTCAACCAAAATAGTAACAATTTACAGTGAAAGGGTTGTTTTCATGTTATAGATTCTAAATTTTTGTCGTTGACTGGACCGAAATGACCAGTCACTAATGGCATATAGGATTCTGTGGAGATGCCACGATATTGCGAATAGTTTGAATTTTGATACTAATTGTATATTATTGGTATCCCATAGTAGTCATTATCCATCATTAAAAAGGTTGCTATTATGAATCGAAGATATACCTAGTTACGTAAATGACATTTTCAGAGGATCACGTTATACAGGAATTCCTTTTAGAACTGGGTCTTTATATAACGATGCCGATACACAAATTTTTAGAAATTGATAAAAAAACAGTCTAGGGCTTTCTGACGATTGACTTCTATCATCTAATACTAAAACACCAGTCTAGTGATGACCGATTCGTGAAACTCATAACGGACTACTACTCCCTTAGGATAAAACTGATTCTAAATACGAAGATTATTATTAGCATAATATGAAACTTGGGAAAAGAAATTAACTTAGCGTCAAAGGAAATGCTTGAAAGGTTCTCAGTTCCTGAAGAAAATGATACTACCTGATTCAAATAGACTGTGAGGCTTTGCTGTGGTTTCCAAGTTCAAGTTAGAGATCTTGACCTGTTCAGTATTAAGAATGACATTGATAAGATTAGCAGAACTACACTATATACTTGTGATTGATGTGGGCAGCTAAAATCTGACTATAGAAATCATTAGTTATCTAAACACTGAACAATTTTTTCGCCCGTTAGGAACAGAACTAGTCAGTGGAGCAACCAGATTCAATTCAGAAGGCCAGGCACCAGTTGATTGTATTGCACTTGCTGCCATGCACAAACTGACAATCTTTAAACGAACGCTTTGGTCACAGATACTATCAGTTCATCCAACAAGCTAGTAAGTTAGTAAGTAAGCTAGTAAGCACCTTGAACAACTTGACTCTCTGGATCAATTAGATAAGAGTAAACTGTTGGTGATTACAAACCAAAACAATAAAAACGGAAGTTCAGCTTGTAGATCAACTAAATCACTGTATCGAGCAATATTGATTGATATGGATTTTTCTCAACTAGTCACTTTGATTACAACTGAGTATCTTATCAAGATTTACTTTGTAAGTAATCCTCATAATATTTTGTACGGAAAATGAAGAATGCTGTTAAGTGCTCCAGTGTCAGCACTATGAAGAAACTGTAAGGAGCAAAAGACCCGAAATTAGACATAAAGACAACCAGCTATCAATATTTCCTGTGAAACGAAAATGTCGAACTCCTAAATTTTGACTATAGAAAAATGCTTCCTCAACCATTTTGCTTAAGTGTTTAGTAAAGTAATTATTTCACAAATCTTCATAACTAACAGAAAACTAGCGAAAACAAAACAAATATTTCAATAACATATCAAAACTTAGAAACGCATATAAAGCTTGAACACACAATAATTTTCTGCATTGCAGTCACATAACAATTCGTTAGATAAGCGAATAGAACTGAAACGCCATCCAGTAATAGAAAAACGGGATTTATCAGCAACTGTTAAGAGTAACTACCACAGTTAAACGTTCATAAGATATTTCATGCCTGGCGAGAAGGCTATACAACACAGGTGACTTCTGTGACATCAACTGTCAATACTGAAAAAGTGGATGCCAGGCAACAGACAACTGAATAATTTCAGACAATTCCTTCACTTCATAAATTTAACTAGAGAAATAACATGCTAAAAATTTCGAAACGAAGTAACTACGTCTTTATTACACCCTGAACCACACACAGTACCACAACTGTGAGGAAACAATCCAGCATGCAACTGACTTTTTATCATTATTTCCCCTTGGGTTCCTAGTGGAACATAGGTCTTCAGTAGCACGCCTCCATTGGACTCCCTTCTCTGCAGTCTTTTAAACCTCGCTCCACAACTGCCTACAAGCTTTCATTTTTTCCTCAGATGATCTCTATGTCACCCTCAGCTGGGATGCCCAACTCGACGTTTTCCACTCGAGGGCCTGGCCTGGTGGGTGATGTCCCCAGTCGGCCTTCTCAGTGTATGCCCAATCCAATCCATCTTCACTTTCTCCTACTGCATATTTGTCGGGTGATAGGTTCCTGGTCCTCGAGTGAAACCCCGATGGGAAACGAGTTGGACATCCGAGGGTGACATGGAGGAGATCGTGCGAGGAGGGAATGAGAGTTTCTGGGCTGTCGTGGAGCCAGGTTCAAAAAACTTCAGAGAACAGAGTTCACTGGAGACGTGCTACTGAAGCCTTGTGTTCCATTAGGAACCCAAAGGACAAATGAATGATAATGAGGTTCCAGGTTGGTTCGTCGCCAGACAGAGTTCCTTGTTGCTTATCCTTATCATTCTGGCCATCTGATTTTTGAGTATCGAGCGTAGACGGCAGCTGTTGATGAATGTCTTCAGTTTGTTGGAAATGCTTTTCGTAACGTGCCAACTCTCTCAACCATCACATAGAAGCACTGACTTGACGTTGGTGTTGAAAATATGGATCTTGTTCTTTATGCTGAGTACAGTGCAGTAGATCTCTACACTG